AGGATCACTGCTCCGCTACCACTGAAAGAGTGACTAGGGCGTACACGATTGAGGTGCAGACCGCTAGTGTCTTTTTCTACGCAGAGTCTTATCCTCTTGAGCCTTATGGCAGTCAAGCATGGGCACACTAGATAGGCCACTGGAGTGGAACCTGTACAAGTAGGCCTCTACGTTTCAGCAGGCACAAAATTCATGTCCACTCCAGCCTATTGCGTATGTCGCACACTATTTTTCTACCGCAAGGCTAAAACAGTCCAGCAAGCTCTAGTAAGCTTAAAAAGGAAACTACGGTGCCCTATACTTACCAATTCCAGTGCGTTACACACTATAGAAAAGGTAATCTCTAGGTATACTAGACACAGTGAGGGAGCGATAGCTTACTCACCTCAAACACAAAGTCAAAGACAATGTATCTCGGCTGGAGACTGTATCGTTCACCGGCGAAGATACCATGTACCGGCGCTCAATAGCCCTTAATTAGCCAGAGCTGTCAGAAAATTTAAATTCAAAAGGGAAAGCGGCTTCTTTTGCACAGAGACCTATAAAAGCAGTAAACGACACTCGCGTAACGAAGAACTAAAATTTCAAGACCGCACAAAATGCAATGAATTAAGATGCCTTGCAAAATGCAAGGAGCGTAAATAATTCGGTCCGAGGAATGTTCTTCTCGAAAAGTGGTCTCGGCCGCTTCCATACACAGGACTTATACCAAAAATTTGAACTGCATCAAAAGGACTCTCTCACATTGATACCAAAAATCAGCCAAAAACAAAAGGAAGGAGATACCGGCAAATGTATGTACAAAAATCTTGCACTACAATTGCAAACTCATAAAATGACTTAATCATCAACCATAAATGGTTGTCCATTAGAGGTCATTTCAAAAGAGCGGCTGTGGTGGATATCATCAGTTCTGTAAAACTGTCCATACCTACCTGCAGATAATATCCGTTTAGTAAACTGTATTTATCTGCACGCTAAAGCTTATAAACCTGGAATGCAGGAGTATCTTCTTGGATAAAAAGTTTCTCCTTATTGCCAACCAGGGTTCATTAAAACTTCAGCCTGGCAACTTAAAAATCAGACCTGGAAGCAAAGTATCAACTGTAATCAGAAGTATCTTCACTTCCTAGCCATCATTTAAGATTCAGCCTCCGCTCTGAATTTATGCCGCTGCAGTCGATGAAGCTGCTTGATCAGAAGTTGGCGGCCTTCCTTTCCTTTTATTCTCCTTCTGTCTCTCCTTCCTCCGCAAGTTAGCCTCTCGAAGAGTCTCGCCCAAGCGATAAAGCTTCCTGTCCGCAGATGAAAAGGAAGCTGGTCTGAGTGAGATAAACATTGGGCCATGACTGTCATCGTCAGATGGTCTTGAGCACATAACCTCCGTGTCAATCATAGCAAAGTTCTCTGAAAAATTACAGACGAACTCCTTCGTGCTCACTGTGGAATTTGTATATTCCTCTCCACTCATTGAATGACCCCATTCAACAATGGTAGACAAACATGTATCGCCAAGCTTTGATCCCTGGTACATTTCTTTTTCTTCTGTAGAGTATTCTTCCCAGAGTTTCTCAAAGTAAACTTCACACTGCTTGAGGACAAGTGAAGATGAACTGTAAAATGTTCTGGGAATAGGTGCTCTGATACCAGGATCTGCTTTTACACGGGCTTCTGAAAACCTGCGGATCCAATGCTGCATGGTGCTGTAATAATAGTTAGCCATTGGCTGCCTTTTGTATCCAGACATTCTGTAGGCCAAACTATTTGCATCACCAGAAATGATGTCCACCTCATATACAAAACACTCATAAAGCATCAATGCAGTCTGTTCTCCTGTCAATAGGTGGGCATCCACAGCACGGTGTGTATCAACATGATAATTACAGACTCTGATGGTATGCATGTTCGCTCGAGTAAGTGGAACACGTTGGTCCTTAGGACCATAGTCCGCAAATTCAAAGTCTGCATCCTTGAATTCTTGACGAGGCCTTGTTTCTCCAAAACAAATCTCATAGATAGCCCAAGTTACATCACGCTGTGGACAGTGACCAAGTTCTTGGTCATGTCCAGCAATGACCTTGACATATCCACCTGGTGCCAATCTAGCCATCACTGCAAGATTCTCCCAATCATTGAAACAAACTGTCCAATTCTTTTGCTCAATAAAATCCTTGGCAGGAACAAGGAGATGAGCTTCCTGGAGAATCACGACATGTGCACGTAAAAAGAAGAGCATGTTGAAGAAAAGGTTGTTTTCAAATTGCTCATATTGAAGTGACATGTCACTCTGTTTGCGTGGCTTCATTGCACGATCAAGTCCTTGGAGAAACTTTGGTGTGGTGTATTTCTGACCACGAACCATGTTGCCATAGTTCCAGGATAAGAATGTCAAGGACTCTGAGCTGGCCAATAAGTTAGTTTCATATTGTTCTTCTATTCTTCCTTTGAGGAACCTTTTGCACAGCTCTTCATAGAAGGTGGCAAAGTCCCAACTGGGTCCCTTGGGGCCATATTCTTCCAGTTCTTCTCTAAGTTGTTTCTTTGTATCCTCCAAATCTGCTCGAGCTTGTTCTGCCCTTTCAAGGGTCCTGGGATCGACCTGATACTTGTCATCCAAATAAATGATGCGGTCATCATTGATGAAAAATCTCTTCAAATCATGCTCTGAGCTGTCCTCATAACAATCAGGTGGAGGTACTGGACAGATCTTTCGAATGGATCGAACAAAGTCGTTCTCGTTGATCCTTGACTGATAGTGAGGACGGGAAATCTCACCTTTTCTGAAACAAACATGGTTCAACAATCTCGCGTGAGTTTCCCTGAAGCATTGTTGATAAAAGCCAATACCTGGATCTCCTGTAAGCTCTCCAAACAACCTCAAAGGTGAAGTGTGCAACTCATAGGTATTGTCAACATCCACTGTATCTGTATCAACAACTACTTCAGATGGAAAAGATTCTTGGATTTCAGCCTCCAATTTCTTCTCTCCATCATCCTCTCTGACCTCTCTTATCTTCTCCACCGCCTTTTTCTTCTCCTCAAGAGTTGCATCATCCTGAACTTCTTCATGAAAATGAGGATCAGGAATTTTATTTAGGCGGCTTTTCTTAGATTTCCGCAGACTTGAAGTATCATCAAGGTTAGCATCATTCTCACCTGATGCTAAGTGCGATGCAGCTGAGTCCTCACCTATCTCTCTTGGCAGAAAGTGTGACGCTGACTCATCCTTGGCTTCCTCCTGGTCCACTTCCATCTTTGTGTCCTCTGAAGGAAAAGCACCTGCATTCTCATCAAAAACTTCTTCATCTTTTACGAGTTCAACTGCAGGATCTTCTTCATGGACTTCCTCTTCCATATCTTCACCTTCCATAATCTTCATACTACCAGTAAAGATCTCACCAGTGATAGTGGAGACTCTTGTGTAAGGAGGAACTTCTTCACCTGCCTCAAAAGCTTGTTCTGCGACATCTTTGGTGAGCAAGTCCTCTACAAGATTTTCTCCCATGGTTCTTGGAAGAGATTCTGAGGTCTCAAAATAATCTGTCCTCTCTGAACTGAAAAACTCCGTTGCCTTCTCATTGACCTTTTTATCCTTAAAGAGATGAGTAATCTTCACTGCTTCTCCCTGTAACACCGGATCACCTTCTCTATACTTGTTGACAATGGAGCGCCATACTGGCACATTGTCATCATCAAAATCAAGCTCCATATCATCTGCCATCAAGTTTGAGATGTTTTGAGCTGCCTGTTCTTCTTCTTCCTCACGTTCTCTGGCAAGCTCCTCCTCCTTCTGGATCCTTAAGATACCCTTCAGGATGTTTTGTAGTACCTTTAAGTTCAGCTTCGATGATGGCTCAAACGTCCCTGAACTTACAGGCTCAACTACAACACGAGAGCAAGAAATCGCCTCCAAAAACTTGGAATTGTATTGGCGTTCAAACTCTTCCTTCTTGATCATCTCATACAAGGGATCAGAAACTGCAACACGCGCCTGAACATATTCACGAAGTTGATAGCATGCATGTTGCACAAATCTGCTGTTGGAGTTGTGAAGAAAACTCTCTAAATGGTTCCTGTCACGGTCAATCAAATACCACACAACCCTTGCAGAAAAACGGAATTTCTTGAAGTTCATAGCAAAATGTGTATGATACTTCTCTGGATCCTCTTCTGCATATAAGGCGGCCTCTGAAGTCTTGTAAATAGGGAATTTTGTAATTGGATCCAAAATCATAAACTCTTCCCACAAGATCGAATGCTTAAGAACCCACCTGGGAAGCACCTTGATGAAAAAGTCACAAACAAGTTCAGACAAAAGGTGCATGACACGGCCAATCTCTTCCTCCTGCTTGAAA